AAAGGAAAGGAAAGGAAAATTTGGAAAATTTGGAATGATGTTTGCAAATGGGAAGTGGGAAGTGAAATGAAGAGAACTCGTACAGAGGAAGAAATGCGTGGTTGATGTTGATGGATACTGGATACTGACTGATGTGATATGGTATGGGTGGGATACTGATATGGATGGAGATGGAGATGGAGATGGATGGGTTTGGAGATGGGATATGTGTATGGGATATGTGTATGTGTATACTAGAAACAAAGAAGATAGAAATGCAGATGAAATGCACAGGTACAGTATACATTGGTACTTGTATATCACTCGAGAGCAGAGTGTGAAATACAGTATAAGGAGAGAATCGCATCTCGCATCTGTATAACAGATCATTAATCACGATACAGTATCCAAACTTGACAATCTGTATATCATCCATATTCACATTCTTCACATCAGCACACTTGAGGCATGAAAAATAATCGTGCATGGCCCCACAAAACTTAATTCTTTCTCTTTCTTTCCTCGCAAGCAATACTTTACTTTAATTTACAAAGCTACCGCGAAGCCTTCTCATGTATACTCGAATCTATCTCTATCTCTATAGTTTTCCAAGTCGAAGCTCTGGATGCTAGATACGTCTTACTCTGAATCGCCCTATATATACCATTGAAACCACTTATGGGCCAAATTTTCGATATCCTTTGGGAAAAGCTCAAGGTTTCCGCTGTCTCCGTCTTGGGCGCTGCTTTCACTTTCTCATATACACTTGGTAGACCCGTTGCTCCATATTTTGCCCGCAATCCATCGTACCATTTGCGATCGTACATTTCCCAAAATTGTGCTTCGTTGTAGTAGGTTTGTGCGTATAACCACTTCATACCACCCAGCTGTTTGAGTTTCTGCTCAAGACTGATGTTGGCCTTGATTAAATCTTTTTCTTTTCCGTAGCCCCATAGTCCGATGTTCAGGAGGGGTTTCGAGGTTTGATTGTCGGCTTCGTGGGAGGCGGAATGGGGATGCATGGTTGGTGTGGAACTTTGCTTTAGTGGACATAGCCATAGTGGATAGATTCCAAAATATTCATCGGTGTACTCTACGAATTCTGTAGCGGTGGGATATGGCAAGGCGAGATCTTGAACAATGTAGCCGGGTGGCATACCGGCAGTATGGAGTGCAGTATATAGCATACGAGTGTGTAAAAAGTCATCCAAGAACCACCGAGTGAATTTGTTGAATGGGAAGGAAAAGTATTTGAAGGCTGAAGCTCCAACCCAGAATGCGCCACGGTCATATCGAAAGAGGTATTCTGCGAGAGGTATGGCGAATCTCGGTGAGGAGTTGCTGCTGTCGATATTAGATTCTACATGCATGTAGAACCAAGGATCCGAAGCATTGCCAAAATGTTGTATGGGGGTATTGGCCGTTGGGATATCTGTCAAACGACCGGTGATAATAGCTCCTTTCTTCTTCGAAAACATGATCCCATCCACATAGTCAATACTAGGATCTGCGGTCATCTCTTCAATCTTCTTGATAGCCTCCGGCATATCAGACACCGAATGATATGTAGTCTCAACATATTTCCTCGCCTTCTGTAACCGCAGCTCAACCAAAGTCGTCACCCCCAAACTACCCACCGCACCCGCCGCCCCATGAAATAGATCTGGCTTCTCCATCTTCGAACACTGAACCACCTGCCCATCTGCCAATATCATCTCCACCCGATTGATCGTCTCGTTGAAAAATCCATGTCGAAAAGAACTGCTTTCGCCCGATGTCCCCGCATATCCTCCTCCCGCAGTAATTCCTGGAAATTCCATCACCACCGGTGGCACAAGTCCATATTTCAATGTCTCCTCTACCAGTCTATCCATCGGCACATTGGGTTCTACCCATGCTGTCTGCGTCGCCGTGTTGACTTCTAATACATGCGATAATCCCCCGATATTTATGATATTTTTGCCTTTCCCAGTATTCCGTGTGCTATTTGTAGAACCATGATTGATCCTGAATTTCTCTTTTCGGTCGTAGAATTGTCGAACATTGGCAGATATTTTCTCGACGGTTTGATTGTGTAGATTGAGGGCAGGAGAGGAAGGATTGGTTGAATTGGAGAAGTGTCGTAGATTCAATCTCGTTTGCTTTGTCTCTTCGCGCCATTGTCTGAAAGGATCTTGAGGGGTTGTCGATAATGGTCGAACAAGATTCTTTCTTAAAGAAAACTTGAAAGTTCTCAGTGAATTCAATGGTGCAGTGTTATGAACTGCTCGCCGTATTGAAATCATGGCTTTCAATATGGTGTGGCTGAATTTACACAAGACATGTTTCACAACATTTTTTGAAGATTCGAGCGATATCGCAAGGCTGATTAGAACTCAATCACGACGGCATCAATTAAGTGGAATCGAAGACAAACTATCCACATTTTATTGAGCCATGAAATATAAATGCGAATCTGAAATGGAATGCGTATACTTACCTATATTAATTGACACGTCCATCTGTATATGTACTCGAGTACAAGTTTACAGACTCAATTGATGAGTAGAACGTTCGCTGCCACTGCCGCTTCTACAAGCACATACAGTCAGTACATACAGACAGTACCTTGGTCTCTCGTACAACATCGATATAGCATCGTCAATCCGTGGTTCAATTCCTCACTGCCTTATGAAGACAAATACCGGTAATAGATCTATATCAGAACAAGGACATCCATCACTAGTGAAGTAAAGATCTACATAAGGCGAGATGAACTCTAAATTAGGTCCTTATCCCACACTTGTACTGGAGTAAGGTTAGTGTTGGTTAGACTCGGCTCTACTGAACTTTACAATATCAAAAATCTTCTTAAGATCATCAAGATTCAGCAAAACTCATCAAGAACATGCAATTATCCAAATAATGAGTGCTATCATCCAATCCTCAGATGAGAAACAGGTCAGGCAAGTGCCTGGAACTACTCAAGATGTCTCAACATCACCATCCGCAGATCAAGACATAGCTATAGCTATAGTTGGGGAACATCGACATGAAATTGACCCCGCGGTAGAAGCTCGAGTCGTTCGAAAGATCGATTGGTTTTTGGTTCCTGCTATGTTTATTGGATATGGACTTGTTTATTATGATAAGGTACTGAACACTCAGTAGACATGTTTGTCCATTGTCCCATCCCAATTGCTGACCGTTTTAGGCAATTCTAGGGTCCGCAGTGCTCTTTGGAATGACAACCGATCTCTCCCTATCTATAACCAACACCAATGTCACGCCACACACAACCGATACATCTCGCCTTAGTTGGGCAACATCAGTTTTCTACTTTGGCATGTTGGCAGGTTTATATCCTATGACATTTGCGTTGCAGAGATTCAATATGGGTAGAATAATAGGGATCGTTGTGTGCTTATGGGCATTGATTTGTATGTGCACAGCTGCTGTAACGAACTGGCGTGGTTTATATGCACAACGATTCTTTCTTGGTTTCGTCGAAAGTATCATTCCAACTGGGTTTATGTGTATAATCACTTCTTTTTATACACAATCCGAACAATCTCTAAGGCAAAGTTGGTGGTTTTCCTCGACTGGTGCATTTACCATTATTGGTGGAGCACTCAATTATGGCTTTGGTCAAATTGAAGGGGGAGATCTTAAACGTTGGCAGTATATTTATTTACTTGCTGGATCTTTTACCTTTATTTTTGGAATTTGTTGTTTTTTCGTACCTGATTCTCCCGTCTCGGCTTGGTTTCTTACGATGGATGAGCGTGTGGTGGCCACGGAACGTCTAAGGTATGGTCAGACGGGTATTCGCTGCACCAAATTCAAATGGTACCAGATCAAGGAATCTTTACTCGATGTCAAAGTATGGCTGGTGGCTATTATGATGGCTTCGGCTTATACTGTCAACGGAGCAGTTAGTGGCTTTGGTCCTCTCATCGTTTCTACTTTTGGATATTCGACTTTAGATTCTATCTTATTTCAATTTCCTCTAGGCGCAATATGTTTGATCTTCATTCTACTCACCGGTTATCTCTCATCACATATCCCAAATATACGCATCATACTCCTCATCATTTGCTGTCTTCCAGTAATCGCTGGATGCGCAATGATATGGAAAAGTTCATGGTATCATCATGCGGCAACCCCAGTGGTGGGATACACCATAATCGGATTCTTTGGTCCAGTAGTGAGTTTAATCATCACGATTGGTATGGCAAATGTAGCCGGACAAACCAAAAAATGCTTCATGGCAGCCACGATTTTTGTGGCATATTGTGTAGGGAATATCGTGGGACCTCAGTTGATCATGTCACAAACGAAGTCGAGACATTACCCAGAGCTTTGGTTAGGATTGATTATCTGGTAGGTTTACACATAAAGACAGACGAATCGTGAAAATATTAATGTGGGATAGTTATTGCATTACAATTGTTGCAGCGGTGGTGTTATATGTTGTATTAGCGAGGGAGAATCGAAAGCGAGACACAATGGAGTAAGTCCACCACTTCCATCTCTTCCCATACATTCAAACACTTTTCGAAGTTGTCACTTGCGAATGAACTGTAATGCATATTCCACGTCATATTTTATGCGGTACTTGGCTGTCACTTGGTGACCAATCGTGCTGACTCATTTCTGGCAGATTAGATGAAATGAATAGGGATAAAATGGCGTTTCAGGATTTAACCGATGTGGAAAATCCATATTTTCGTTATATGCTCTAGTCTAGATGCAAGACTTACAAACACTTTGAGTAGATACTAATTGGCATGATCTTAATCCTGATTTTCGAGCTGTATTCTGCTTTTAGATTTCTTCTTATCGGCCGAAAAGTTAATACCATCAAAGTTGCATATTCTATTTCCGCGGTGTTTAAAGTAATGTCCGTTAATGCCAAGTGGGAGATGTGGTGTATGCATAGCTTGTTGGCTAGTCTCTGAACATATATTAAGATTTACTTCTTTCTTTTGACTTACGCTCTTGATTCACCACTTTTCTGCTTCTATTAAAACAAAGTATGAAAGCAATATTTACCACTTGTTCAAATCCCTCAGAGGACCACAAGGTCAGGACGTCTTGAATCGCACTGCAGTCCATCCAGACCATCAGATGCGTTGACATTTTTCTTCCTTGAAAATTATACAAATATAACCTCAAAGCTAACATTAAATTAGTACAAAGTGGATCCGACCCACCGTCTACCAAGGCGTCTACAACGCCATCCGCGCTCCATTGAACCCCGAGCTCATCGCTTGTCTCCACCACTACACTACCACATATCCTTCTACGCCTTCAACCCCCTTGCCGGTGGCCTTCTCACCTCGCGCTACTATCGCTACCCACCAGCTAGCTAGACGTCGAACTCACACTCACACTCACATCTCGATTCGACAATTCCAATTCCAATTCCAATTCCAATTCCAGTATGCAAGGACAAATTTACAGAAAAAGATACCGGTACTGGAATGAAACGAAACGATATTTGACGCGCTAGATATTAACCTTATTAGGGAGGCGGCGAAGAAAGAGGGTTGGGTTTGCAGGAATGTGAGTGTAAGTTGAGGTGTGGTGTGGTTGGTGAATCATAGTGTATTGCAGCCGGAGAGGGGCGATCGCATGGTTGTGGGGAAGAGTAGTAGTGAGCATTTCATTTGGGGGTGTATTTGAGGGATGGATGTGGAGAAAGGGGGGTTGGGGGGGGGTGAGGGGGGCGTTGGATAAGATAGGGCGTGCGGGGCTAAGAGAGGAGTGGCGGGTCCTTATTTTTATTAGGTTGGGGTGTTTGAAGTGCGTGGTGGTGGTGTGTGGGTTGGATGTTAGAGGATTTAGAGCTTGGGGTTGTGGTTGTTGTTGTGGTGACGGACGGATCTTCAGTCGTGGGGTATGGGCGGGTTCTTTTGTATCTTGGAGTGTGTATGTATTTCATGGGCAGAGCTTGTAAAACATACGGATTTACACGTGGTACTTTGGGTTTGCAGATGTATGTTTATTTATTCAATCATATCATCTCTTCATTACAGAAAAGAATGGTAAATTTACATACAATCACTTTATCCACCTCATCCAATCCATCCATCTCATCCAATCAATCCATTATATCTATCTCCCATCTCCTACCTGATTTACACCACTTCTCTGATATAAGAATATCATCTTTTCTCCAATACCCCAATGAATACTACGAGTGCCTATGCAAACAATAAATCCGTCCATCCGACCATTCCTCAGAGAATCTATAATATAGAATCTAACTACTCGAGTATTTAAAAATAGATTCTAAATAGTATAAGAATAAAGTGAATTCGACTTTTATAATATGACAGTAATGTAATCCATTTTTGATAATATGAGAGTAACTTCCCGTTGTTTAATATTATTCTAGCGATGAACTTGAATCTTGTAATTTGATAGAACGTGTGATATAAATTACATGGTCCCCGAACCTAACGATATACATTGGTCATCATACTCCTTATGATTCACTTGTAATACTTCGGGATTGTTGTTACGTCCCAATAAGTTAAGAGTTGCTGGGTAAATCAGATTTACAGTCAGTCCTATATCAACTTCATAAATAGTAGACCAAGTGTCTTCTTCGACCAATAATTGTAATCTGTAACGAAAGGTAGGTAAACTCACCAGTCTCATCACCTCCATACCTGATCCAATCCTCTTTCTCCAACCCCCCACCCGGCTCCCTTGCAAACGCGATTAAACTCTCCATCATCTTCCTACTCAGTCTATCCTCCTCCTTCGTATTTGCTACCCCACTTACATCCTGCCCAACCCCATGCCACATATTTAAATCGCTTAGATGATAAGCTCCACTGGTAGGATAGAGTCTTGTATTATTGAAATCTCCAAGATATCGATATCGATAAACGGGAATATGATATTCAAGACCTATGATGGCCGATTGAGATGCTGCGCACGTGAAAGTCTTGAGGTTGAAGAGGTCCCATTGGGTAGGAGTGAGAGTGATATTTTGAGCAAATGCAGACAGAGCGTAGTAGCCTGATTCATGGTTGGCGTTGCCCACCAGGTATGGTAATTTTGCAAAGTTCCCGGCATGGGCCCGAGAAGCATAATCTGAAAACACAATCTTCTCATCCACCGTCGGTACAAATTGTGAACGTGTCAGAAACTCAGTAGGTGCAAGAGGTAACTTTTTAATAGCGGCCAAGATGGGCTGGAATGGCAGTTGCTGCATACAGCTTATAACTTCTTGCTCAATATCGCCATCGCAACCAACTAGCAAAGCTAGCTGGTCCCAATATGAACTACTTAATTCGGGACTATTAGGCACATCATTGAGAGTTCCGGATATCGACATGAATGAAGAAGCAATTGGATCATCAGGCCAAGCAAAAGCATGATAATGAATAGATAGTCCGCCAACCGATTGTCCGTACACGAGGATTCTCGATGGATCGCCTCCAAATGAAGCAATGTTATCCCTAACCCATTCGAGCGCGAGTCTCTGATCCAAGAGTGCCAAATTAGTACTAGGTAGCAACGGTGAGCCCGGGAATCCAAATACGAGAAATCGGTAGCTGTTTTGCTTTAGTTGATCATTCTAGTGACAGATGAATGGGTGGAACAAACTCAATTGTAACGACAACGACATCACCAGTTGCCGCGAGATATTGTCCTTCGTATAAAGTATTATTAGTGCTTCCGGAGACGAATCTACCACCGTGGATGAAGAATAAGACTGGTTTTAGCTGCTGTGGGGATATAGATGCCATCCAGATATTGAGCGCTAGACAATCTTCACTGAAGTTGAGACCTGTACCGCCTGTAGCTGTGGCATATATGCGGTCGAATGTGGATGACTTGTTGGGGAATGTGGGAAGTGGTGGAGCGGGATTGAAGGGACATGCTCTTAAAAGGGATGTTAGGGGAGATTTGAATTTTATGAAACCACCCTACAAAACATATGATCATGGTACATAATGTAAGCAATGAAAGCAAACCTTACGGTGAATATCGCGAAGCTTCATAAGTATCTGCAGAAACGAATGGCACCGGAGGTTGGAATCTTAATGAGCCGTTAATTGCCTGAGCATACCGAATACCTAGGAATTCGATAACATCGCTTTGATTTCTTGCAGTATGACCAATAACTATTCCACTCGTCGTTTGCACATGAGGAGCCAAAGACTTATTGAGGCCAGAGACCAATGAGATAGGAATTGCAAATGGGAGTATGCAAATAGAGGTAAGGAATTTCATTGTCGTGATGACAGATGAGATATCTTGTGGGTTGAATGTTTATATGTGTTCCGGGCCATAGCTCAATATCCCCATTGTGAAATGCCCTACGTATATTTCGAAATGAGCTAGCTCATTAGGCAATATCCTAGCTCATTGCTAAATAAGCTAAGTTTCGGAGTAAACTAGCTTATTTCGAAATAAGTTAATTTATACAATTTATAAGGATATTCCAAAATGAATTAAATCTATTTGCAAATATCCTAAAGATCTATTTTATTATATATATATAAATTCCTTTTATATTTTCATTCTTTATATTTTATATATTTTATTACTTTTATTATTATTCAAAATATCTGAAAACATTATTCTTCAAATTTAATTGGAAATTTCAAATCTTGTTTTCGAAGTTTTCTCAAATAGTATTCAATTAGGTTTCAATATTATAATAAAAGATTCTAATTATAAATCTAAGGAATATTTAAATCCTTTATATATAATTTAAAGACTTTATTTTGAAAGTTTCAAATCAACAAAACTATAATATCAAATATTTTGTTATTATTAAATATAAACTCAAAAATCATTTTATATTCCGAAAAATCTATAATAAATATATTACTTATTCTATTCCTTTTAATAATAATCAGAATAAACTTCATTATAAGGTTATTAAAGAATTTTATAATATATCTAATAAAAATTATAATTAGATATTATAATATTATTAATATTAT